AGAAACCAAGGGTTAAATTTAAGATATTACAGGATGTTCGAGAAAGAGGGGGACTTAAGGCACCTAATTTGAAATTATATTATGATGCAGCCGCCCTAACTTGGTTAAGTGATTGGCTTAACTTAACAAATATGGATATTCTTTTTTTGGAAGGTTGGGATTTAATATATGGTTGGCATGCATATTTAATTTTTAATAAGAAAGTTGATCGGACTTTTAAATCACATATTTTGAGGAATGCCTTACTTCGTGTTTGGAAGAAGTATTATTATAGATTAAATTATAAAATACCTATCTGGGGGATTCCCAGACATGCAATTGAGGGAACCTATAAGGGACAAATTTTGATAAAATCTCGTATAAAGAATTGTTAATTTGCTCTGGTTCGAATTGGCATTTGAAATCCCTAGATGTATTAAGGCAGCAAAATATTCTACAGTCATGGTTTCAATATTTACAAATAGTGGACAGATGGACTGTAGATAAGAAAGAGGGAATAACATTAGAAGATAGACAATTGGTTATTCAGATTAAAAATCAAAGTCCGGCTCATATAAAAAGAATATATAATGTTTTATTAGAGTTAGATTCGGAAACAGAATTGGTTAAAGACTGTATGATTAAATGGGCTCAGAATATACAGGAGCCGATCTCATTGGATTTATGGGAGACAATTTGGATAAGAAATGTTAAATTTACACAAGCTCAAAATTTGAGAGAAAATTTTTATAAAATGTTTTATAGATGGCATTTAGATCCTAAAAAATTATCTTGTATGTATTCCAATATACAGCCCAAATGTTGGAGATGTGGCAATAATGATGCGACATACTTTCATATTTGGTGGAATTGTAAAAAAGTAAAGGCTTTTTGGATTATGATTTGGTGGAACATTCAAAAGATTTTTAGAAAAAAGATAAAGTTTACTCCTCAACTATTTTTACTTGGTATTTTTGTTGACTTAAATGAAAAAGAAACTACTTTGATGTTGAATTTATTAACTGCAGCAAGGTTATTAGTAGGTTTATATTGGAAGAAAGATTCCTTGCCTACTTTAGAAGAATGGATATTTAAAGTATCTAGTTTTGCAGAAATGGCAAAAATTTCTGCTTATTTAAAGGATCATACACAAGAAAGATATATTATTGTATGGGGAAGGTGGATAGATTATATTCAGAAAAAGTATGGAATTAAAAAGTTTCACTTATTTTATGAATGAATATTAAATATTAATAATAATAATAATAATAATAGTAAAGTTGGAAGGGACCTTGGAGGTCATCTAGTCCAACCCCCTGCTCGGGCAGGAAACCCTACACCATTTCGGACAAATGGCTGTCCAGTCTCTTCTTAAAAACTTCCAGTGTTGGAGCATTTACTGCTTCTGGAGGCAAGCTGTTCCACTGATTAATTGTTCTCACTGTCAGGAAGTTTCTCCTTAGTTCTAGGTTGCTTCTCTCCTTGATGAGTTTCCACCCGTTGCTTCTTGTCCTGCCTTCAGGTGCTTTGGAAAATAGCTTAATTCCCTCTTCTTTATGGCAGCCCCTGAGATATTGGAATACTGCTATCATGTCCCCCCTTGTCCTTCTCTTCGTTAAACTAGACATACCCAATTCTCGCAACCGTTCCTTATATGTTTTAGCCTCCAGTCCCCTAATCATCTTTGTTGCTCTTTCATAGGCTATGGAGTTAAAGGTTAATTACGATAATTTTTTTTCTTTTTTCTTTTCTTTTTTTTCTTTTTTCTTAATTATTATAAATTTTGTTATTATTAACCCTGTATTCTGCTCTGGGAAGTGAAGGGAGGGGGGTTGGGGGTGGGAGGGAGGGTAAGGTTGTTTTTTTTTTCTACTTTAAAATTTTATTGTATTTTTATAAATGCTTGTATGTTAAAAAATAAAAAATTTTCAACTCTCTTATGAATAATAAGATTTTTATGAAGATTTTAATAACTACAGAAAGAGAAAAGAAGAAACAAAAGATTATAAAAAGGGTACAAAAAATGGAGAATAATAAAAAATGAAAAAGAATATCTAAACAAGTGACTTCCTATTTCTTTGCAGCAGTTACAAACATAGCAATTACCATCTCTCCCTGCTCATATTGTATATCATAATTTCCTTACCCCATAAACAAATTTTAAATTATTAAATCTCAAACAGGTCATGTTTATCCATTTTTAGCAAAAAGTCTATAAAGGGTTTATAGTCTTTTATAAAAGTAGGTGTAGTTCCCTCCTTAATCAACTAGGTCAGTTTAACCATTTCTGAAAACTCAGCCATCTTCACAATCCATTCCTCCATTATTGATGTTTCTGTAGTCTTCCATCTTTGTGTATTTAATAGCCTCACTGCATTTTTTATATGAAACCAATAATCCATGAGACTTTTCCAGTTAACTACCCATAAGGCCTAGGAAGAAAGGTTCTGGTTTTATCTCAATGTTAATTTTTAAAACTTTTACATCACCAAATGTATTTGCATCCAGTACATTTTTGCTTTTTCAGAAGTCCACAATGCATTATAAAATCCCCATTTCCAATAGTGATTAGAAGTACTGTTTTACATCTTAGACTTTTTCTGATGTCATATGCAAATGGTACATCATTTTTAAAACGTTTTCTTTTAAATTGTAGTGAATTTCAGATCTTTTAACCACTATCTTTCCTATTGATCAATTTGAATATTATAACCAAAGTATGTAACCCGTTTATCACATATTCTTTAACCTACTCTTTCTCCATTTCAAATCTCAATGTTTATACATTTTAGCAATCATACGTTCATCAGTTATATTTCATTCATATTCAGGTTCAGTTTTATCACAGTCTACTTCTGCTACTTTTTAAATCTATATTAAATATTTCTCTTAATTGTACACATGAGAACTATTGAAAACTAAATCCCAGTGCAGTCACTTGTTCTCTTAATTTCTTCTTAATCTCCCCATTTTTCTGGGCTAGAAAATGTTATAAGTGGTTAATAAATAAATTTATAAATGTTGTAAATGCTTAATCAATTATCTTTGCCCCTCTTTTTTTCTAATAATGCACTTCTTGAGCTGAGGACAACAAAGGTATTTTCCAGATCATTTTCTTGGTTTATCATTATATTTTTCTTTACATTTTTAATGCTTTAGCCACTTTCTTTTGTATATCAAGTAAACAACCTTCTCCAGGCCTATCATTATTTCCACTTTGAGTACTTTGTCTTGTCAGGTAAAATTTCTTCCATATCTGCCATTCCTTCATTAACTTCTTTTTGACATAGTCTAATCATGGAAACTGACATCATTACTGATAATGTTGATATTATAATTACTGATTTCTGGCTCCATTCTTCAAATATCTCTTTTGATACCTTCAGTGTTATGTTTTATGCTGTTTTTAATTCATAGTATTAACTGACATCAAGGCCTGTATTTTTCCCCCTTCTGTTTAGAATCTTTAGTCTTCTCTAAAATCAGTTTCTAAAATCCTAAAGTAACTTTTAAAAAAAAATTATTGATTTTCCAGTTTTACATTTACATATTTGAAAAGCAGCATGGCGGCTGGGTTGGTTCATAATTCAATAACATACAAATTTCCTTAGTACAAATCACAAACTATTACATTAAATATTTCCTCTCTTTTTCCCTTGGTATTTACTGTCTCACATTTGAATTAATACAATTCTTATTATATCAATTTAATACAAATAGCTTTCTTACATTTATCAATAATTTTTAGTTTATACATATCTTAGTCATTTTAACATTCAATCTTTTTAGACAAACAATGTCCTGGTAAGTTTTTCCCAATTTTTAGTTTCCCATGAATATTTAAATTTAACGTTTAATAAGTTTCCAAATTTTAAATAACCGCTATTCCCTTTATCACGATTCATCCCTGGATCTTACATCAGCTGGTTAATAATACAATATAATATTCTTATTTTCTGATAATTTCCAAATATCTTAAATTTAATAACCAAAATTTCTCTTATTTCAACATTTAATATTTCCTCTTTTTTCTCTTAATATCTACTATGTTATATTTAAACTAATAATTTTTATTATTACCACTAAATAAAAACATATTTGTTACATTCATCAATACATTTCTAGTTTATATATATTTTAATTGCCTTTATATTCAATATTCAATATTCAAATTTAACTATTGTTTATATTTCCAAGTCCTAAATAACCAAAGTATCCTTTAACTCAACTCATAACAATTTCTAATATTCAAGGTACACATCTTATCTATTTTGAGAATATTCTGTTTTAATTCTCACTAGTAAGTCAAAATCCTAATTTTCTTCAATCTTATTCTACCTTTCTTTCTTTGCCAAATTGTCTTCCATGTCCATGCTTTTGAGTCATCAAATAAATCTCCCTGTGTTATTATATATGTTGTTTGACGTAAAAAAAATACCTTATATTCAGTAGCATGGCTCAGGAATTCTGGGAGTTGAAGTCCATGAGTCATAAAAGAGCCAAGGTTGCCAGTGCAAAATGCTTTTCTTACTATTGTTAGCCTATCCACATCCTGAAGGTCAGAGGGCTGTCATTAAAAGTATTATGCAATTCCTATTTATTTATCCTGATTAGGAATCTTAGCATTCCATTTTGTCATGCGAGCAAATATCTCCATCAAGGGAAGAGACAATTAATCTATAAACAACCAATATTATGTACTTTCCCCAGGAATTAGTCATTTGGGCTCAATATGGAAAAAATGTCTGATTGTGGATATTTCCCTGTGACATACAATTATATGTAAGTAATTTTTAATGCCCAGACTACTATCTATCAGCCTGTTTCCAACTTTGTGAACTTCAATTATTACAATTCTATAATCTGTAACAAATACGATATTTGCTAACTGGAAGTGATGGGAATAACAGTGCAACACAACTGCAACCTACCAAGACAAAGTTAATATAGAATGTATAAATTCTAATTTCTAACTTCTATATTGATGTTAGAGTGCACTGAATGGTGCTGGTAGAAATGAATTTTGCAGCCAAAGTCCACTTAATATTGTCTCATTCACTGGATGAGCATAAATTTTAGGTAGAATCATAGGAACAAAGGGGATAATAAATATTGCAAGTACATGATTTTGCTATGGTTAGTCGAAAAAAATCTTATGAAGAAAGCCAGACCAAAACATTTTATTACCTGATGTAAAAAAGCAAAGTTATATTATTATTATGGTTGGTTGCACAAACAGATGTTTAGACTAGATTTGGCATTTTTGTCCACCTATTGAGACCTTCCCAAAGATCTAGGCTAGGCAGATGCTGTTGCTTAATAATATTAAAGGTATAATCACATCATGAAAGCTGTTTCAAGTGAAGCTGGCTTGTGCAACTGACTGATGATGATATTGTCCTGTTATTATTGATACTACCTTTGCTTTCTTTTCCCACAGTCATTGTGCTTCTATTTGCAGATCTTTAATTTTTTTAATTTTCACCAGTCCTTTGTCTTCTATTCTGCTCTTTCCAATTAGTGCAATGTCCACTATACAGATATTTTTGTCTTATCAACAGTTGTTAAGTCTGGACTGTTGTGTAGCAGATGCTTATATGTTTGAATTCTAAAGTCCCGGAATATTTTAGCTTCTTTATTTTTTATTACTTTGTCTATTTTGGGGTCCCCCAGTTCTTGCTGGCAGGCAAATGGAATTTCTTGCAGATATTTCGGTGTACATTAAATTGCTACTTTGTCATCCGTTATCTGTACAATCTTCTTGCTAACTAGATGGTCCACCATTTTTCCAGCTTCTTTGCAGAGGCGGCATTTGCTGTCTCTTGCTTTCTTCTCAATTCTGGTTTTATATGCATTTGTTTTTAAGGTCTTGTCTTATGCAGCCAGATTTAGCCCCTCTGTCTCTTTCTTCAACTTTCCTGCTCTTAGCCATTCCTAGGTCTTGTTGTTATCTGTTAGTTTTTTATGTACTAGCCAGGTAATACTTTTCCTTGCCACATCTCATTTTTGTTCTTCATTTTGATCTTATAGACCACATTGGTCTCTTTGGTATTCAGTAAGTCTTCATGGTGAACTAGCTTTCAATGCATCTTTTTCACTGTCCTTCGGATATTCTTCTAATATTTTTTTTCATTTTTTTCTTCTTCAACTGTCTGATGTACTTGCAACATCTCACAACCTTGATGCTCCTTGATAAGTAGAGTCTATCAACACTGAAGGATGCCGAGTGCTCTCTGACCTTGGTTGTTTTCAATAGCAATAGCAATAGCAGTTACACTTAAATACTGCTTCATAGTGCTTTACAGCCCTCTCTCGGGAATTTACAGAGTCAGCATATTGCCCCCAACAATCTGGGTCATCATTTAACTGACTTTGGAAAGATGGGAGGCTGAGCCAACCTTGAGCCAGTCAGGATCAAACTCCTGGCAGTGGGCAGAGTCAGCCTGCAACACTGCATTCTAACCACTGCGCTACCACAGTTCTTTTCATTACCCAAACTAGATAATACCATCAGTGCTAGTAAGGAGTGGGGTTTGCTCTCAATTTATATTCTAGGGACTTGGTAGGGGTAGTCTTTGAGGCTCTTTGGTTGGGCTAATGTTTTTTTGGCAGTTCCTTGATTGGGTATTGTTTCCTTCTTGATTGTTGGTCTGATGTTAATCTTGGTGTTAATCTATGCTTATCTGTGTGTTAATTGCTAATGTGGTGTTTGGATCTTTTTGTTCCCTTTTTGGCTTGTTGATTGTCTCTTTCGCACAGTATGTAGATACTGTTTATGTCTACATGTCTATTGATGGGCAATATGTAAGAGTGCCAGCCTTCCAGGAATATCTTTTTCATAGCCTTCCTGGCACTGTACCAAGCGCTGGTCTGTGGCTTATTTCTAGACCATTCCTTTACTGTTGATGATTGATTCTAAAAGAAAGAAGCTACCCACCACTTTGATATATTCATGGGTAATTCTAAGGCTGATTGTTCTATTGTTCTTCATTTTTCACTGTGATTATTCATTTTTATTTTGTATTTCTGAACCACCTGCCTCACTCCAAGAGTGATTAGTTTGGTTTTAAATGTAACACCCCCCCTTTTTTTTTACTGTGCTCCTTGACTTTTATTACTAGAGCTTGCAGGACATTTCCATTTTTGGCTATCAAAGTAATGTCACCAGCGCTGCTTAGGTTTCTTCTTCCAATTTTAAAGCCATGCTCTCTTCTTCCCATCTACCTTCTCTTATTCAGCATATAGTATAAGTAAATGAGGGGAGAATATGCAGCCTTGACACACTCCTTTGCCAACTGGAGGCAGTCTGTTTCACCAGGTTCTGTCCTGACCTGTATGAAATGGTGCATAATATTAAAGGCAAACAAAAGAATTTTGACATTTAAAACAGAAAATCCCTTAGGCCAAGGGTCCCCAACCCCTGGGCCATGGACCACTACCGGGCCACAGCCCATTGGGAACTGGGCTGCTGAAGCAATGGACGAGCCTGCAAAGCTTCATTTGCACATTACGGGATTTAGGTTGCATGTGCAAAACCGTTTCCCCCCCCGCTACCCAAACCACCAAAGCCGTTCGTGGTGCTGATGGTCTGTGGAATCAAAAGGTTGGGGACCCATGTCATAAGCATTTCCCCGTCAGTAGAAACAGAATAATATACTAAGGAATAACATAATTATCTTTTTTATACCTTTGGAGCTAAATGTTGCTCAGTAGCAATTTCTGCTAGAAGTACTTGACTCTAATGCTTAGATTATCATCTTGAATTGCTGTCCATGGACATTCTCATATACAACATTAACCAGATTTTTTTTAAAATACTATACAAGTTTTACTCTTTAAGTGTAAATTAATAAAAACAATAAATAAAATGTTACATGTAAATAAACAAAATGTTACAGCAGTAACAATAATTTTTAGATCAAGGTTATTAAATATGTGAAGTTTGAAATGTTCAAATACCTTTTGCCAAATAACGGTAAACAAAACAAAGATGGGCAGAGAAATTAAAAAGGGGATTTTAAAAAACATGTGGCAGGAGTCTGCAGATATACAAAAGAAATGAAATGATATACAAATGAAATGAAATGACAGAATATCTCCTGACATATAGCATATAACAGGAATGAAATTGATTAAGGGAAAGTACATCTAGTGAAACTCTTGTTACGTTCATGAGTTAAGTTCATACTAGGATTTTTTTAAAATTGTTTTTGTTGATATTGTTGAATCTATCATGATTTGATGAACATCCTGGATGAATTTGTGCATTGGGCAAATGTTCATATAGTAAGTTCAGACAAGAGGGTTTTTTTTAAATTATTTTTGTTGTTATTGTTGAATCTATCATCACGATCTGGTGAACATCCTGGGTGAATTTGCGCATTAGGCAAGCCAGTCCAATGGATTAAAGTGACAAGGGAAACAATCGGCCTGATTATAGAGCTCTTAGTAGAAAGCAAGTTATTTTAGGACCCAGCAGCAATCTTTGCTGCTGTCCGTTACACACTGCATAGCTATTAGTGCTCCGGGTCGTCCCTGTCGCTTGCTCCTTCGATTCGATCCTCTGCGCCTGGCATCCGAAGCGGTTGCAGGCACAGGAAAGGAGCGAGAGGAAGCCTGTTTCCTCCCCATCCCAGCAGCTTTCCTTGCAGAGGGGCGCTCGCGGCGGTACATTGCTGGCAAGGAAACCTGCCTGGCCCGGCTAGGGCCGCCGGCTGGGTCGTGCATGCGCCTGCGCGGGCGCGCCACTGCTTCGTCAAAAGCGGGACTTGGATAGCTCCGGCTGGGGTCTTTCCTCTACTTGACGCACCAAAGCACAAAACGCCTCACTGGGCTCGCCTTCTCCCGCCGTTATCTTAGCGCGGTGCAGCAGCCGGGCGAGATTCTGGCTAGAATTTGGGCCCTCCCTCGGGGGCGGGGCCACGGAAAGACCGCGGCGTCCCCACCTCCTTTCTCGGTAGCTCCAAGGAGAGGACGGAATTACTGCACGGGGACGCCGCCAGCTGCATCTTCTCCGCTTCGTGTTTTAAAACTGGATGGAAGCCGCCCGGGGCTTGTCGGAGCCTCAGCGGCTGATAACGGGAATCCCTCAGCTGCTGCTGCTGCTCGTGTTCAGTTTTTGCGGCTGTCCGCGGGCTGCGAGATGCTGAGCTGCGGCTCCACGAAAGCGTTCGGGGGCCCCGCTTCGGTGCTCGCGCGCGCGTGATTCCAGAGAGCGACCTGCCGCCCTCCTGATGGACACGGAGTCCCGAGTACAGCTCAGGGCTGTTGCTGCTGCTGCTGCTGAATCTCGGGGGAAGGGTCGTGTGAACGCCGAGTCGCAGAAGAACCCAACGCTGTTGCTGCCGTTGTATGGGTGGAATGCTGAGCGGGCTACCCACTCCGGGTCGTCTCGGTGGGCAGGGGGCTTAAGAGGTGGCTTTTAGGGTGTTCTTTAAAAATTATTATCCCGAGTTTCATTTGGAAAGCCGAACGGGTGGGGGGGGGGTTGCAGGAGACCAAAGCCCGTCCATGGCCAACCCGCGGCGGAGCATTGAGCTGGAGCATTTCGAGGAGCGAGACAAAAGGCAGCAGCGCTCGAGCTCCCGCCGGGGAGGGGGCAGCTCCACTTGTAGCAGCAGCTCGGGGCCCAAAGGCAACGGGCTCATCCCCAGCCCCGCGCACAGCGCCCACTGCAGCTTCTACCGCACGCGCACCCTCCAGGCCCTCAGCTCGGAGAAGAAAGCCAAAAAGGCGCGCTTCTACCGCAACGGGGACAAATACTTTAAGGGCTTGGTCTATCCCATTTCCAGTGACCGCTTCCGCTCCTTCGACGCCCTGCTGATCGAGCTCACCAGGTCTCTGTCCGACAACGTCAACCTGCCCCAGGGCGTCCGGGCCATCTATAGCATCGATGGCAGTCGAAAGCTCTCCAGCCTCGACGAACTGGTGGATGGTAAGGAAAGCCTACGCCTTAGTTGGCTGTATTTCGGTCTTCGGGCATAAGCGCTGAGCTCGGGGGGAGCCGCTGTGTGGTGGGCGTGTTTAGTGGTGTAGCCGAAGCGGCTATCAAGGGCGTTTTCACAAGTGGGATTCGCACAGATCTGTTCATATTACCCACAATTCTTAGATGATGTCACCCTGTTTCAGCTGATTCGCATCGCTTAGTAAATCAGGCTGTTCTAACTGGGAACATCCATGCATATCTGTAGATACTGCCTTGATTTCCAGTGAAGGAAATGCGCTATTTTATTGGGCAGGGGAATCTTTGAAGATCGAAATGTGGGTATTGGCAGGCTGCTGTGGCACTGGGCTGTTCCAAAATGTGGATTGTTTTTTGTTTAAAACATGATTTAGCATTGCCAGCTGCCTGTGAATAGTTTGAGACAGGATTAAAAAAATACCCTGAGTGATGTTGTGATAAAAATTCATTGTCTGAGATTGGTTATTGTACAGAGAAATGATAATAGACTATATAACAGCTAATGCATAAAACTGATAGTTTCTGGGTTTATTTTCATATCCCTGTTTTGTGGTTGAAAAAAATGACTGTTATCAGATGCTATTTTAAAGATTGAAATGATTAAACTTTCCAGGTATTTTCCATGAACAAGTATAATCAAAATAAATATATTTTAAAAATCTATTGGCTCAATGAAATACTGCTACTATATGAGGCCTCCAGCATTATTTTGAAACATATAATTTGATTTTTGAATGAAACATGTAACTTAGTTTTCTAGAACTTTCTGCTTACTTGCTACTTCACATCACTCAGTGTCCATAATAATTCACAGAGATATTGTAACAATTAGGTTTTTGAAATATCAATATGACATCCATATATCCCTGTTATAATAAGCATACATTAGATCAGAAGTGTCAAACTCAACATCACGTGACATGTTACGACATACCATGACTTTTTTTCGGTATGATGCATGTGGCCTGTGGGCCAGCAGTTTGACACCCCTGCATTAGATGAATTTTTAGATTTTTCTCTTTTTTATGAGTATATATGCTTTTGTTGATTTCATGAGATGAAACTATTCTAAACTGTTGAATGATTTGCACATTTATCTTAATGTACAACAGCGGTTCACAACCTTTTCTTCACCACAGGCCCCCTTTAAATACCTTTTGTGGCCACAGACCATGGTCACGGACACCCAAGATTTAAATCATAACATTTCTTCAAGCCTTCACGGACCCCCTGTGACAACATTGTCATGGACCCACAGATTGAGAACCACTGGTGTACAGGATTGCTTGGCTGATAACTGATAATTTCATCTACACAATACCTCAGTACAAAGTGTTAAGTGCTATCACATTCAGAATCACATGGACAAACTCCAGTTAGAATTGTTTATTCAAATAAGCAGTTTCTTGTCTAATTCCTGTTCCCAAAGATATTATGTAGGGCCACCTGTCAGTGTGACCTAGTTTTAGTGATTCAAATGAATGGAGAACATTATCCCTGTAATTCTATTACCTCCTGGGGGAAGTGATAAACTTTAGAATTGAAGATAACTAAGCAACTAGTCTGAGTAAATTGATAAGAATAACACAATCTGATTTTTTTTCTTAATAAAAAATGATGTGTATTCAATTCCTGCATTCCAGTTTCAATCGCAAAACATTTCATCTAAGACATCATTTTATAAACATTTAATACCAATTTAAATATTGTAGAACTCTGAGAAAACAAATTTAAAAAATCAATCAATTAAAACTAAATGAATATGAATTAAGGTATGTTTAGGTAGAGAATCCAGAACTGATCTGCAAGAATTGAGTAGATTTTTTTTTTGTATTTACATATTTTTTTTTTTTTTTAAAAAAAAGAAGCTGTATGAAAATGTATAATCCTCAGTACAGATACTTGATGTTTATTTAGGTATGTTTAAATAATCTGGAGCCTTAATCCAACTTCTTCGGGCTGTAAAGTTGTACATTTCCTGCCAGGGGTCTGGAAGAAAGAAACTTCTGTCTACTGATATTGTTTTCCCACTTCTACTTTATAAATACTGTACTGTACAGTTGCAGTGTATTATCTAGATATCGCATATTAAGTGGTGTCTTAACAACTAATACCTTTATGTAGCCAAAGCTTGTGGTTTCACATGACACCTGCAAGATAAAGTAAAATAGCAATGATGGCAGCTTTACCATATCTGCTGGTATAATAATCTTAAACAGGTTCATAATTATATTATGTTCACCAATTTTGGAGGGCAAGGAGTGCAGTTGATGGGTTGATTACATAATTGCATAATCAAGCTGAAATTGACTGCTCTGTTTTACACTTGATCTCAGCCAAAATATTAAGAAGGGGTACTCTCTTTTAAAACTTGCATGATTGTTTCCAAATGCTTCCTTCTTCAAATAGAAGGAAATGATTTAATCAACCTTTGGTCATTATACCACTTAGACTGAAAACTGCAGGTAGTCTTCAATTTGATTGCAAGCCATTGTGATTGTAAGTTGAGTTATCATGTGATCAGACTCAATTTTACCACTGTTTTTATGATGGATGTTAAGTTAATCACTGCAACTGTTAATGAATCACATGATTGTAAGTCTAAAATTACCCTTTCAATGGATGTTTTGGTTGGAAAAATGTCGCAAAATGGGATAACTTGACTGCAAGATGCTGCAATCACTCGTATATGTGAGCCAGTCACCAAGTGCCCAAAATTCAATCACCTGACTACAGGGGTGATATGGAAGATAAGTCATAAGTTGTAAGTAACCTTTTTCAAGTCCATCATAACTTCAAACATTTATTAAGTGAAGTGTTGTAAGTCAAGGACTACTTGTATGGTCAAAAAGATTGCTGTCAAAGAGACTCCTGAAGAGTACAAAAAGTTTTTGGTCATCACAGATTGTCAGTTCTGTATACAAAGGTGTTTATGATAGTGGTAGAGTTCAATTGTTGAACACTACTTCCAACTGATATTTGAAAATGATCAGATAACTTTGATAACAGAAAAAACTTGAATTTGAATGTTTCACCAGACATGATCTATTAGTGCTTTCATGCACCAATAGAAACAACGTTAGCAGCAGTGGTGGGATTCAGCCAGTTTGCACCGGTTCAGTAGAACCAGTAGCTAATTTCTTTTGAGTTTGAAGAATTGGTTGATGCGTGCCCCCTTCCTGCCCCCAATTGGACCCATGCAACACCTTCTTTCCAGCTCTGATACGGTCTTCCATCACTTCCTCCGCCGCTATGGGCAGTCCCACAAACAAAAAAAGTTCAATCAATTCCAACTTTGCGAGATCTTTCTTTTTTTGTGAGAAGTTGGAATTGATTGAACTTTTTTTTAGTACCACAAACTTCTTTTGTTTATGGAATTGGAAAAGGCAGTGGAGGAAGTGATAGAGGAGCTGGAAAGAAGGTTAGAAAAGAAATGGTTTGGGAATTGAGGGTATCTGGGTGATGGTGGGTGGGGCAAGCTCTTAAGCTCCACAGTGGCAGAGAAATGCTTTCTAGATCCAGCGCTCTACCTGCTGCTTTGGTGGCTGTGTGGGCAGAGCTGCGAAGAGGGCTCTGAAGGGGAGTAAAAGGGAAGAGGGTGGGTGGGCAGGTGAGGGGGGATCTTCTGAAGCCATCCAGAGGAGAAGACAAAAAGCAGTCCCCACCTCGCCCAACACCAGCAATTCAGAGAAACTGCCTCTGAGCTGGACGGCTGAGGAGGTGCTGCAGTAGGTCGTGCCCAGGAAAAAGAGAGCATGCAAGGCTGGGAGAGCCGGGACTGGGGAGAAAGGAAACCAGCTGTTCTGGAACCTTAGTGAGTTAGCGGGCGACTGATTGAAGAGAGGGATGGTTGCAGTTGGAGATGTAGGAATCGCTGTTGCCACCTCCTGCCCAGCCCCGTGCGTTGCCCAGGCGCCACTGCCCCACGAGGCTAGGCAGCCATTGCGCGAGATCCACTGCCTCTTTGGGCTGCTGAGGCAGTGCTAGCTGCAGCCAGTGGGCAGATGAGGCAGCTCCAGACCCCCGGCCACCCTGCCCCCTACTCCTGCTTCTCTGTGTGGCTGGCCGATTGAGGGGTTCAGAGCAGCAGGAGCAGCAGGAGCTTGCTGCCCCCGTCAGAGCCCCCTTCCAGCTATCCTGGCACCGTCTCTGCCAGTGCCAATGGGGCAGCACTGTGGAAGGGAGACAGTGGTGGCTATGATTTCCCCCGCCAGCCAACCCCCTCCAGCCCCCTGCTTGGCACTCTTTGTACATAATCCTACGTGATCGCGGTATGAATAAGAGGCTCGGCCAGCAGGGGAGCAGCTTTCTTCTGTGGAGGCATCCCGGCCCTCCCGCCTCCCTAGCCAGACCCCCTTGCCTTCCCCCAGATGGGACCTTCTGACCCCCCCCATCCTCCTGCATCACCCCAGTTCGAGATTCCTGCAGCCCCCCAACTGTACTCTCCTGCCCCCATCCCCCAGCTGGTACCTCCAGTAATTCCGCAACTGGGAGCTCCTGCCCCAACCCACCCCCGCTGGGACCTCCTGCCCCCCCAGCCGACCCCCCCAAGCAGTTCACCCCAACCAAGGCGGAGGGAAGGTGAGGCAGAGAACCAGTTGTTAAATTATTTAAACCCAGCACTAGTTAGCAGTAACATCAACTTAAGATATATATTGTTTAAGCAAGCCCAATACATTATATAGAAAATTAAATATGTCCCTCTTTAAGGAGTGGTGTTATGGCTCAGCAGTTAGGCCCTGAGCTTGTCACTTGTTCAGCTGCGTGATGGGGTGAGCTTTTATTACTTGTACCAGCCCCTTCCCACCTTGCTGTTCTAAAGCATGCAAATGTGACTAGATAAATAAGTACCATTTCAGTGGGAAGGTAACAGCATTCCATGACCCTCAGCATATACAGTAGTTATGCTGGCCACATGACCACAGAAATGTCTTTGGACAATGCTGGCTTCCTCAGCTAACAAACAAAGATGA